TTCTATGCACTCTTGCAACATGACCGCCCCATGGCCCAGGGCGGATCCGCAAATTGGGTGGATCCCATGGTCGGGAGGTTGGGAAAAGACACGTCGACACGTGGTGGGTCCATGATCAGACTTGGGTTGTCAAGACCCTTGTCATAGTGAGCCTTCTGGGCTGGTGAACACGGGCAGGTGTTTTTATTGTTTTGGGCCACCTTGAGGTCAAGATGTGTGAGGAATGAAAAGTGCCAGCTTTGTGTTCAGGACCTAGTATCAGAGCCCCTTCATGACGATGTTCTTCTTGTTCAATCCAGAGATATATGGACCACTCGCTTCAGGTACTTAGTATTAGGATATTATATACTTACCAGCCAGTGCACCTTCCTATCTTCGCACCCCTTTCGCGCTTACGCACCACCCTCCACTCGGCAAAGGCCCCGGCCTCACGGCTGGCCGACCGTTTGGCGGACGACGGAGGCTGAGGCGGCTGGGGCGGCTGGGTCGACTTGGAGAGGATTGATGGGCCTCAAACTGAGGGCCTGCGGCGCCTGCGGCCTAAAGAATAATATCATGGACTGGGCGTCATTGTTTTTTTGGATAGGTACGTTCCTACGTTCCCTCCCTGAAAACAAGCGTGGACCTTGGAAGTGGAACGATTCGGCCGCTGGAAGACTCAGTCTGACTCAGTCTTCCTTTTTATTTTGGCTTCCATGATGGAGGGAGTGTTGGTGAACAGTTTCAGGGAAGGTCCTTTTGACGAAACATGGAGAGGAAGAAGCTTTTCCATGTCTCCAGGGTTCTCAAGAAGACTGTCCTGATTGAGGAACACGTACTTGCGACTATATATATATATATATACACCACAGCCTCTTTTTGAGGGTCGTTGACCCTGTGAATCCAACGTTTTGTTTTTGCTTGTGTTCTACTTGGCGCTATTTACCTGGGGTTTCCCATTTTCATGTTAGGAGGGGAGCCGATTCAACCATCATGAATCATGACAGGTTAAAATACTCGTGTGTCACACTGCCAACCTTTGCCAACCCTTGGCGCAGTCAGTTGAACAATCCCGGCTTCAGGCTGGGGGGGGCTTTCATGCCCGTCTGGCCGGCTACACCAGTGTCAGCGGCGGAGAGTTAAGATGGCTCCCGACCCAACTGAAGTGCTGTTCGCACGTGGGAGACCACCGGGGGGGTTTTGAGCCCTGGTGGGCAAGATCAATCTCGCTTGGCGAAGCCAAGCATGGAGAGTTTCTGCAGGAGACCCATGTCAAAACCAGTGGTTCACATGTGGATTTTGATCAGCGAAAAGACTGAATTTGATCTGACTGAAACGTCCTGCACCAAGATCAAGGTTTGTCATTTCCTATAAATTTCATTCAGCACGAGAGGGTCAAAGCTTCTGCAAACAACATTTGAAATCCAGATTTGGAGGGCTTTTTGAGGACATTGGACCCACCTGATGTCGATGTTTGTCTCATTCTGGGGAAAAACAACCACGCACATCGCCTTTTGGTTGAGCTTGGGAATCCTGGGAATTTGCGGAATTCTCAGCAGCACCTGCGATCGGCAGAACCTGCGCGATCGATCACCGCGAGACAGATTCAGTATTGAGTGTTTCTGGTCTGCACGGGTTCTGCACCGCGTGGCACGTGCAGTTTGTTCGAGCAATGTACTTCTGGGTGGATCCCTGTTTAGTGAAAAGATAGAACGAGATCTAAACGAGACCATAGAGTTGTGGAACATGGAGACCTTGTTAATACATAGCACACCTGGTACTAGCACACCCACGACATGACTTTGGGTAATAGGAGATACGACATCCCATCAAATGGCCTCCAACCTACTAGCAATGGCCCTTCAACCTACTAGCTTTTGCTTCTTTGGCTCCTCGCAGGTCCAAGCCTCACGGTGTTCGCTCGCGCGAGAAGCACGCACACGGTTTGAGCATGCAAAGTCTGTTCGTTCCTCCGCTGGGCGTGGGAAAACCACATCGACGACCACCGGCTCATCGCGGGATGGAACGTAAAGCTACCGTGACCAGCGGTTTCGGATCGTCCGATTTCGGAGCGTCCGACCAACTGAGGAAGGTGTTGGTTTTGACGGATCGATCAGGATCGTCTCATATAACATTAAATGAGTTTCCATATAGAGTGAAAGGGGCTATTGAAGTTCAGAGAGATTCACGAAGCGAAGCAGGTTTGTGAAAGCGAACCTGAAAGAGATCTCTTGAGGTCCAAGCAGTGCTTTTTCAAGCCTTTCAGCATCTATCACCCGCAGCACAACCCACAGGAGAGCTACAGTATCACTCTCGCCCCTGGGTGTCGTTGGGAGTGGACGTCCAAGTTGTGGGGGGGGGACCAGTCCCCAGCTGGTGGCTGATTAGGACGGAGATGAATTCATCATGAAGTCATTTGGAAGTAGAGTCTTGCCCAGTCTTCCAGGAAGAGTCGGTAAAAGATGATCACTAAGACATACTCAGACCATGACCCTGAGACAAGTCTTTACTAACCATGATCATCCACTGTTACAAGTTGCGGGTACTGGGAATATATATCCAAATTAGTTACAGAACGGCATTAGTCATTATAATAAGCTCACGAGTGTTCGGGTACGTTGACACAGGATCTGAACACTGACATTTCCTCTTCAGAAATCCGCACGACGGTTGCACCATGTGTTGACGGATCTCACCGTTAGAAGCTGACACTTCCTTCCATTTGCTCAACAACCCGAGACATTTTTGCTTTAGAAGTGCTCCGCCAGAAGCAAATGGCCCATGGACCAGGTGCACATCAGACCAGGTCGGCCAGAGAGGCCGACCGCGCAACGAAGCTGAACACCCAAATGGCTGCACTGGCCCAGCCACTAGACATACCCCCATCCGTGACGATGCTTACCCGGGTGCCAAAGGGCCTACTTAAGAGCCCGTTTCAGCACATGAGGAAAAGCAAAGACTCGCCAGAATAGCCAGATGCGACTGCCCCTGGAGTATCGGGCGATTCAAACATGTCAAGAGTCGTTCTTGGAGATTCCCTTTGCAGTTGCAGATGGCAGCCAAGTCTTTCAAGACATGTCCAGACTTGAACATTCACGCAGTAAGCCTAGGCTCTTGCAGCACTACCAATTTTCCAGCCATGTATCGCCCCAATGGGGTGCCCAAAGCCAAGGACACTGCCCGGTGAATAGTGAGTCAAAATCTCCAAGGAACTTTCTTGTAACAGATCCACGTGTTTGCCACAAACAGCTGTGGTTTTGAAGGGTGGAACTCCTTTTTGATGCAGAGGTGGGAGAAGAAGGACCAGCATATGGAAGATTCTGAAAGGATGGGGTGGAGATCCTTTAACCACAGACCTTAGGTGGCCCTGCTAATTGCTCATGAATGTTTATGCATATCAATTACTACATACATAATCCAACACAACAATTTGGCTGTATTTACGATGAGTAGCTTTGATGCAAAACACTGCCCACTCCGGGGAATGGATTCATATCAACTCTGTGTGGGCTTCGGAGAAGTGGGAGAACCGTCTATCACCTGCTTGGTATGTAAAAGACTTGATGTGGTGTGTGTCCTGAAAAAATCAGAGGATCAATTCAGCTGTTTTGCCCTGGTCAATCTCGCATTGTTGATCAGATCAGATTCTGCGTTCTTATTGTTGGGCGGAGTCCATTGAACACGTTCGCACGGCAAGCCACTTGGCTGGAACGACTTGGAGCTGATTCCAAGACTGCTCATCTATTAAAGATCTTACACCGAGGAATTGTTGGTTTCTTCACATGCTTGGAGTATATAATTCCCCCCAGATTTCAATCCTGTTGCTTTCAGAAGGATTCTAAAGAGATGCCAAGGCAACAAACACTTCCCCGCTACCAGGCTCCTCCAACCGCGCCACTTCGCGCCAACTCTTCGCGACCGCTTCAGGAGCGGCCGGCGCCGGCGGGGGGAAACGCTCTGGTGACCTTCGATGCTCAGCTGGCGAAGCAGCAGGAGCGCGGTCCACCGAAAGCCAAACCGGTCGGGGTGGGCGAGTCTGAGATGGGAAAGGCAGGAAGACCCGCCACAAGGAAGAGTTTGGGGTGGGGTGCAGGTGCAGGAGAGCCGCCTCTTCAAACAGGGTCACTCTCTTGACGCAGGCGGACTGTATTGGCTTCATCATCTGACGGTCGGTATAAACATGTATAAACCGCCGTAGTTAGCTTGTTACTGTAGATGGGATGTGGGAGAACCCAACCCCCCTCCGGTCTCAGGTTCCGGTGGTCAGAGTTGCACGCAACGTCTGGATTTGAGGGAGACGGAACCCCTCACGGTGTTCCGACCCTCCGCTTCGGAAGGATCGAGGCGATCGGGGCGATCGTCTCCTTCTGAAAACGCACCCATTTCCGCCATGTTTCTGGACCTCTCGGTCCTTGCGAAGACGAAACACGGCTGTTCATCACCATGATTCTTTCCATGTCCGTGTCCGGTGTCCGGTTGGCTTCGGGCTTGTCTCATGGGTTTTCCCGAGAAAGACTCTTTGGATTCTCCGAGGGTTACGGTCGCTTCGCTGTGCCGACTCCGAGCGAAGACACCGAGCGAAGACACCGAGCGAAGACACCGTCGTCCGCCTTGTTCAAGCCAGCGGAGGGCTGCAGATGCTGCAGGTTCGGAGGTGACCAAGTGCAAGCAAACTTCCAAACAAAGAACACTTCTCAAGACCCTCCAAGTAAGATCAAGGGGCACGCACACCCGAAGTATCCGAGATGTGTCGAATTCTGTGTAAGTCCCTTCTGCAGTTTTGGGTCATGTCAACGGTTTTTTACCTGCCCGGGACCCAAACAGGTTATTTGCGTTCGCTCCTTCTAGGCCTCAAGTAGACCAACCCTTCCTTGGTGCCGTCTCATGGACAACTGTGCAGCAACCATGCGACTTCGGTCGGTCTATGACTTCATACGACTTTTCATGCCTTAAAAGAGCGTCCAGCAAACATCGGAAGGCACATGGGAAGAGCACTAGTAGTGTGTGCCTCCGGTTTAGAGGCTTTTCACTGGCTAAGCGCCATGTGGGAGCTTGGGCGTTTGCTGCTTAGTGCCATTCCGGTGGGTTTGCTGCACGTGGCTTGGCCCATGTTGGCCGCCGGTGACTGGGGATTGGGCCAGTTGCATGGAAGAATCGCTTGGAAGTTCCTCCTGGGAGGGTCCAATGACGGTCAGTTTTCGATGGCCTTTGTGTAATTAAAGGCAAAGCAGATGTTGTATGCAGCTGATTTGTTGAATGCGAAATTGGAGGGCAGATGAACTTCGCACACGTCTCACGCGAGGGGCTTGCAGTTGTCTTGACATCTCCAGGTCATTGTTGTTGCTCATGGGGAAAAAACGAAGGGACAAGAATGATTGGTTTGGAAGATCCAGCTTTTTGGGGGACAGGGTCCTCCTCTGTTCTCCAATGCAAAGCAGATCACCGAACATAGGATGTTTTTTTCACTGTTTGGTCATTCTGAACTGAGGACCCAGTATGACCCAGTCATCCGGAACCGAGGTAAAGTCAATGGCTTAAACATAGAAATATCCGCCCAGGTCACGGATTGCTGATGGAATGGACATTTGATTGAATGTGTGCAAGTAGAAAGACCTGGACCTAGGCAACAAGCACGGAGGGAAGCAGATGGAAGGAAGACTCTACCAGATCTCACATTTGAGTGCAACCAAATTGTGAGCCAGAAATGTCCCAGACCAAAGCCATTCTTTCCCTTTCCACTCCCAAGCTTTCCCAACCACTTCAGATTTGTACTTCACGTTGGCAGGAAGAAACTCCAACAAAAGGACTTGAGTCTCAAAAGTGCTGTTCTTATACACAGATTGACTTCGCACATTTCGTGCGCGGGCATGCGTGTGAACGAAGAATCTCAGTGGAGTCCTTGCCGAATGGGGCCTGCTTTGATTGGAATCTATACCCGGATCTTCTAATTACGGGGTCTTTTTCCAAAGACCGTGTTTTTTTGTTGTGGCAAGGCGGAACCCCGCAAACTTGTGGTAGGTGCGAAACTACAAATGGTGTTTTTTTGGCGTCCAAACTGTATCTTTAAACGTCTAAGCAGCGTCTTTCCCTGTCCTGGAATTTGCACTTGTTTGCAACCCCTGAAACAGCGTCCCTTTTTACTTCGTCTTTTCAGTGAAAATTGCATCCGGCAAACATTTAGTCGGCGGTTTGAAGATCAAGGTATACAATACAATGGTATAATATATAATGGTATAATATGGATACTTAATAATTATGATGGCATTCCTTCTTAGGGAATCGAATGAACATCACAACACAATGGTCTTTTGCAATGGAAAATGCGCTCTTTTGCTTCACCTCGGCTCAGCATCCACTTGAGTTCGGGATCCGTGATCCGGGGATTATATAAACCCTTCGTTGACATCACCAGGTTTGGGTCACCAAAGATGACATCGCCAGCAGACTTGAGTTGCTCCAGAGGCGCAGACTTGAGTCCGTTTGGGCTTTCAGTTGAGGGACTGATCCTTTGGGCCTCGTCCGACTGATCCTCCAGACATGGATCAGTCTGATCAACCACTGCGAGGATATGCATCGTCGACCAGGGATTTGGACAAAACGGATCTTTCCATCATACCTAGCGTTTTTGAATTCTCATCCATGCCTTGGAGTTCTGGCCTTCCTTCCATTGATTGGTGTCTTTACATTATGCAAAGTAAAGAAATGCGGTGTTGAACTGTCTAACCTGGTTGGACTTGTTGCTTGATCCCGTCTGACCGGCTCGGCAAACACGTGCAACGAAACCCCTAAAAACCCCGTATGGACATCCATGGACCGATCTGAGCAGCGACCGATCTTCTAACACCTTTCTGATGATTGAAATACAAAGGTATTAGAAGGTCAGTTCACCACTCTCAAAATAGAAAATTCTTCTAACCACTCTTCACTGGCCTTTCTGGCCAGTTCACCACTCATGCCACCCTTCACCAGACACCTTCCTGAAAATTGGAGACGTTCCACGCCTTCCAGCGCTGCATCGGCACATACCGGCCCTGTGGCACGGCTCTCGCGCTGATTTCCACAGGACATGGTTCGGGGCGACCCCATCGGAGAACATCTCGGAGCGTTCCGAACGCCAGAGGAAGATGCGACACCCTGCGGCATTGCACGCATCGCGTGTGACACGCGTGGGTGGCAACGGGCAAGATCTTATTTTTCATTTAATAAACCATGATGCATATATGATTACTAAATTGTATATATACTATACATATAGACTTTGTAGGCTGCATATTCCTGTGATTCGGGGGAAAACATGGACTGCACCAAGATCGTCCGAAGAAGGGTTGCGTTTTTTATTCGTGAATACTGGGAACTGTGAATTGGATATTCTTTTGTGGAAAGGCTTTCGCCCCTCAATTCATAGTGATGCTGGTGGGTAAGGGGAATTTGGTTACTGGCTCCAAGTCCCCAAGAACCGGTGAAAAGCCAGGTGAAGGCTTAAGACACGTGAAGGCTTAGGACGTAGCACCTGGGTCATGGTGAACAGAATCATTTAATTTGTTTTGATGGACCTTGGTCTTCCACTGTGGCTCTGATCAGATCCTCTTGTTCCTCTGATGTTCCAAGACACAACTCACCCAATGCCGATCCAAACTTTGGATCAAATACATGGTTCTTCGGTCATAGAAAGCGCCCTGCTCCGGAAAAAGGGCCGTAGGCCAGGCGTCCAAACCCACCAATCATGTGTCTTTTTTGAGTAGACAAGACACGTCCGTGCCCAAGGAGAGGAAGAGGAGTTGCTGCGCCTCCGTGCAGAGATGCTGAAGAAGGCGCCTCAAAAAGAAGCTCTTCTCCGTCTCAAGTCTCTCCCATCTGCCGCCGAGTTTCCCGTGGTCGCGTTGAAGAACGGGAGTCCTGGAAAAGTTGGAGAACCACCACACCAGTATAGGTCTCGAGGTCTCCTCTACCACCACACCAGTAACCACACCAGGTCTGGCTCTACCACCACACCAGGTCTGGAGGTCTCCTCTGGGCCCCGAAAAGTGCGACGGATGGGGTCGACCTACATGATTTGACGGTACCATGAAGACAAAGATGCGATAAGACTCACAGTAAGACTCGGAACATATATAGATGATTGTTTCCACACGCTTTGGGGGGGGGGGGCACGCCGGATGCTGCTAGATTTTGTCCCTTCATTTGGCAGAAAGTTGAGAGATGGTGCCAAATATTACTAAATTGGTGTCAACTGTGACACAAAGCATAAGATCAGACTCAACGATCTTTCCCTAGGGATCCACTGGACCCTTGTCAGAAGGTACGACTGGACCCTCCATGCCTATGTAAATGTGTCTCCAATCCCCTAGGCATCGAGTGAGTATGTGGATCCGGGTTTGGCCATTTTTGGCCGTTTGACACGCACAGGTTTCGTACACGGTCGACGGAGTCGACCGAAACAAAGAGGACAAACGGCCACGCTCCTCTCATTAGAGGTGTAGTTCTGGAACAAAGAGCTAGTAGCTGCTAGTAGCAGCTGGTATTCTCTGTATTCAATATTCAAATTCGTCTTTGACACTTTGATGTGCAGACAAATGAATATGGACAATAGGATTTGGTTCGCTTCCTTCCAAGGGCAAGTCTTCTTTTTATCCTAGAGAGGTGGCCGAGGGATGACTTTCTGGGAATCAGTTCCCAAGACCATTCAGAGCCATGACCTCTCCCAGAGTCTCCTGGAGTTTTCAGTTGCTGTTTCTTCCTTCACCTTCGCTTTAGCTTGCTTGAGCCTTCGAAAAAGGGATATGCGCTGATTGAGTTACAACCGCAGACGACCACATGTAGCCCGAAGTCCTGACGTGACCGATTCAGCTCAACTGAACATTCGAAGGCGCCGAAGGCTCCGTGTTCCACCGAGTTCGTGGTGCCATCCCTTCATGCGCGACGCAGTCGACCTTTCGGATGGGACCACTCTCCAGACCAGTGGTCGAAGCCAACAGTTCCACAGAGAAGATGGGGTTTCACCCTGTTTCGCACCAAGCATACAAAGTTACAAAACTCAGAAAATGAGTTGAAGCTTTCTTCTCTAGACTCAAAAGATCAGTTCTTGGACCCCCGGCTGCGGGGGTCTCGAGCGCTTGGAGAGTTCTCTGAACTGCGGGCGCGAGGTGAATCGCTGGGTGATGCACTTGAGCGCCGTCGTGGCCACTGCACCTGGGATCGAGCGAGGAATATCTAATGGATTGGGTTTTGAAGAGAAGATCTACAAAGGACACCCATGGGTTTTCACCCCAAAAAATCCATGGGCAACGCAGTAAGTAGATGATGTAGATGTTTCCCTTACTTAAACATCTAATTTAAAGCAACATCTGGGAGAGAGGAGGAGGAGAAGTACATCCCAAGTGGACTACCCCGATCACGACTAGTTCTTTGAAGCGCAGGACTTGAAGCCTAAACCCGACGACCCGACCCCTAAGATGCCCCTGGGACCTGAAAAAAAGGCGACCTGGGACCTCCACGAGATCTGAAGCTTTCTGGAAGGAGATTTGTGAAAGGGACCAGCTTGATGAGGGAACGATGGGAACGATGAGGGAAATGAGGTGACATGATGAACCTTTTTTTTTTGAGAAGACACTGTTCTTTTGAGAAGACACGCCCAAGTCCACTTGTGAGATGGTCTATTTCTACTGAACATGTGGGCCGTCCAAGTTTTCAGGGGACTCCCAGGTGCGACGGGCCCTGGGGGGGGTCTCCTTACAGACAAAACAAGCCCATTCATGTTTGCAGTTGGCCGTGGCGAGACGAGTCGTTAGCTGCTTTTTTAAAGGCTTCCGTTGCCAACTTGATATGTTTTAAAAAGAAAATAAGAACTATACAAAAAACTGCTTGCACCTCGAACGGAGCCGTATCCATTGTCATGATAAAAAACAAGATCTCCATCCAGTCAACGCAATGAAGATTGTCAATCGTATAATATTGGAGGGAGATTGTAAGGGTTCCCAAACTGATTTAATCAGACAACGCAAAGCGGCAGAGCGCGGGGACCTTGAGAAATGCAGCATGTATTGAACAGGTCCCCATCCTCAAGACATAAGGATATATCGGATATATCTCTGCACCTCATGATCCGGCGTCAATGAGGTCTTACTATGGCAGTGGAGCCAGACTCCAAGCGTCATGGGTGCTCTTGAACTGGCCGCCGGGCTGATGGGCTATCTCGTAACCTTGGCCTTCTTCCAGGGCTATGTCAAGTCACCTGGCAGCACGGCCGGACCGTGGGAATGAGAGCCCGAAGGGTGAATGAAGCACCTGAAAACCAGCCGGAACGTGGTGATTCTATTTCTTTTTTTGCTGGAAGGATGCAAGGACAAGCACCCATCCCATGGTTGTCACCCAACACTTGCCAATTGGGAGTCCTTTGATGGGATCATTTGATGGACAGATCAAGTATTAAGCCACCAAACCACATTTGCCTATAGAGATAGCATCATATCATATACTGTAGTTAAATACATCAAAAAACAAATAACAAATACTACTACTACTACTACTACTACTACTACTACTACTACTACTACTACTA